TATATATATATAAATGTGTGGGGAAATGTTTTCTATCATAAACCTGATTTTTAAAATAAGAACTTCTGCACACATTTAGAGGAGTTTACTCTCCTCACCTTGAACCTGCTGACCTTTGCCCCAGGAGTGACCAGCCTCGGCCCCCCGGCTCGGATGGGCGGGCCGGTGTCTCCCCCATCGGTCAGGCCAATAAAATCCAAGTGTTGTTGCATAACAGGACTGCAGACAGCCAGCGCTGAGCTTCACCTCCTCTCAGCTCCGCTTCTCCTCGCCATGGCAGCTCCGAAGAAAGTCTGCATCGTGGGCTCTGGAAACTGGCAAGTTGAAGTGTTTACGACAGGAAGGGTTGATGCTAAGGTCAGGGACTGCGGCTGACGAGTTGATACGATAAGGCTGGAATTAGCCCCGAGCCCTTAGCTTGTTCTCAGTAGCAGCGCTTCATTCAAAATCCCGGAGATTAAAGTTACCGCGTTTATTTGAGAGTCTCATGAAAATAAAACGTGATTTCAGTTGAAACAGTAGATCTTAACGATAATCCAGTCGTTTCGGCTTGTACCTTTTTGTTTTAATTTATAATCCTAACCATTTTATTTTATTTTATTTTCCCCAGTAAGTAATGTAGGTCGGGTTAGACAGAATCCAAATTCAAACTTTTTTTCTTGCCGAAGTCATGTTTGCCGATAAATAATCACAATATTAATTTCATATTCTGTGTAGCTGTATTAAAACAGGATTAGTGGTGACACGTGTTCAAATCAGTGTGATTTTCTGTGTAGTTTGGTTCCTGCTGGGACACGCTCACCTTGAGCAGCCTGCCAGATCGTCAGGTCAAAAAGCAGTCATAAATGTTGTTTGATTGCAGTGAACAGAGATTAAACACTAACCTGTGACTGTTTACAATCCAGGGGCTCTGCCATTGCCAAAATTGTGGGTGCCAATGTTGTTCAGAATCCAAAGTTTGACAACACAGTTAAAATGTGGGTGTTTGAGGAGATGGTGAACGGGAAGAAGCTGACTGAAATCATCAACACCACCCATGAAAATGTGAAATATCTTCCTGGACATAAGCTACCAGCCAATGTGGTAAGATCTGCTGGGGTTAACTCGTTGTGCATTTGGCCAAAAGCTTTGTTTTTTAGATTAAATTCAAGTTATTCCACGTGCCGCAGCAGGCTTCAGATACCTTTTCTTTCTAACATCATCATCCTCACGTTTCTCTCAGCTGGCAGTGCCAGACCTGGTGGAGGCATCCAGAGATGCAGACATCTTGGTGTTTGTGATCCCGCACCAGTTCATCGGCAAAGTGTGCGACACGGTGAAGGGCAAAGTCAAGAGCGACGCACTGGGAATCTCTCTCATCAAGGTTTGACTTTTGTTCCTCGTTCGGTCAGGCAGTCTGAGAGCGGCGTGTTGTGCAATGTGATCTTTGAGCCAGGCGCCGCCTCCCTGTCGCTCCCGCAGGGCGTGGATGAAGGACCGGACGGACTCAAACTCATCTCGGATGTGATTCAGGAGAAGCTCGGCATCACCATGAGCGTGCTGATGGGAGCCAACATCGCCAGCGAGGTCGCTGATGAGAAGTTTTGTGAGACCACCATTGGTGAGCTCAATCACTGTTGTGAACAAGATTGTTTATAATTACGTACGCATTTTTTTCTTTCTGATTAAGAACTGAGAATCCACACACATTAATATTAAAGTTCCTGTGACATCAAATTTTTGTATAAACCTGATTGGATTTTTGGAAAGAGGACATTGATAACATGTTGCAAAACAAATTCCATGTCGCTGAGATGAACAGTTGTTGAGATATTTGCATGTGAAGAAACAGGAAGTGATGTCAAAGGGGAATGTCAGCATTTAAACAGAGCGATGTTACAAAAGCTATCAAAACAGACTGTAGAGCAGAATCTGATGTTTATTTAGGTTATTTTTAGTCGCTATCAAAGAGAGACGAAGAAGAGTTCAAGTTTAAATAATTTTGTTTTAATAAACAGAGACCAGCAAGTTTATTTTATTAACGAGTTCCCCTTTGATGTCACTTCCTGTTTCCCTTGGGCTGAGCCGCATTCAAAAGAAAATATAACAGTTATGTGAGAAAATGGGTAAAATCATGTGTAATATGCCAAGTTTCTTCAATTTAAACATATTTCCTTTGACTTATTTGTATTTCATGGATATGCACGTCACAGGCACTTTAAGCAGGATAAAGATTAGTTGATTTATTAGATCAGACATGTATGTTTACATTTTTATTTTCTCACTTGCAGGCTGTAAGAATAAAAACCACGGGGCTCTCCTGAAGGAGCTCATGCAGACCAACAACTTCAGGGTCACTGTAGTGGAGGAGGATGACGTGGTGGAGATTTGTGGAGCCCTGAAGGTGAGCCTTTAGAACGCAGTGATTATTATAACTTTTAACACACATTTAATGTTGAAGTTTGTTTAAAGGCTGACGAAGTGAGAGAAAGGGAATAAATTACAAATATAGAGGGATGAGTTTGAATTTTTTCCATTTTATTTTCACAGTAATTTGATGTTGTTTTGGGGGGCTGAACCAATCTTTGTACTCCTATTACATACTTCCTTTGACTTCTTTTAGTTGAAAACTAAACATCCAAACTCATATTTTTCCACTGAGTAGATGTTGCTTGTTTCTCAAGCCCTATTCTACATGATTAACAATGTTTTTATTAACTTAAATTCGTAATTTGAAGAAAGTTGGGTTGTTGTAAAATGTAAACAAAAGACTAATGTGCACATCTCATAAACTCATTTTATTCACAAGGAAACATAGCAAACACAAGAAAGATAGATTTTTTTTGTTGTCGTTGCAGGTCAGCAAGAAATATTTATACTTTGTATGATTCTGTGTAAATGATCTGAACCCACATGTAAAACGGGCTTTACTAAAGGGGAAAACCCAGTTCAGATGTGTGCACATAAAAGCTGAGACAGCAGTTTCAGTCAGACTGAGGCTGTGATCTGGGAAAAGCTCAGAGGGATAAAGTGATGTGATTAAAGCTCCACGTTTAATGAGGGAGATGAAGTTCATTCAGTGATGAGATGGATCAGCTGGATGCTAACGGGTCACCCTGTCTGTGAACCACTCAGCTGCAGTGATTGCTCACGCTCCTCCTCACGTGTTGTGCAGAACATCGTTGCAGTCGGAGCGGGTTTCTGTGACGGTCTGGGCTTCGGGGACAACACGAAGGCGGCGGTGATCCGGCTGGGCCTGATGGAGATGATCGCCTTCGCCCGCATCTTCTGCACCGGGGGCGCCGTCTCCTCGGCCACCTTCCTGGAGAGCTGCGGCGTGGCCGACCTCATCACAACCTGCTACGGCGGCCGCAACCGCAGAGTCGCCGAGGCTTTTGTGAAGACGGGGAAGGTGAGAGCTCTGCGTTGTCTTTACAGATCTCAGCTTTTAATGGAACGCGGCAAGACAACTGTGCAGATTTTTGACCCGATTTCCTCCTTCCAACAATCTTAAAGGGATCCATGATTAGTTTAGACTTTATTTGATTTATTTTAAATGTAAAATAAAGACTGTAAAAATACTGTAGGATGTTCAGTTTTGTAAATTTTTAAAAATATATTTTAACATGGATGGGGCCATTTTATTAAAACACAAAGCATTCTGGGTAAATGATGATGTGGATAGGTCCTCGGTGTGCGCGAGCTAAATCCACCCTGAAGGTTAATCTTGGACAATATCTGAWMATCYACTCTTTTAAATGAAACCAGAGAGCGTTGACAGAGAGGAGAAGGTAGAAATGACTCAGCCTGMAACTGAAAATATGGATGGAGGACAACAGAGCTGCTTCATGGAAGAAGAACCTCAGCTTAGCCTGTTAGCCTTCGCGCTAGCGCCGACGCTATATTGCCTTTATACGTATTAGCTCAGCGCTAGATCGACAAACAAACAAGCTAAACTGAGGTCCTCCATCCATATTCTCAGTTGCAGGCTGAGTCATTTTTGTGTTCCTCTCTCTGTCATGTGGATGGAGGACCTCAGTGACGAGAGGAGAATGTGTAACGCTGAGCTAATACATATATATGGTGATAGCGTAACGCTAACACAGGCTACATGAGTTCAGGCTCTGGGACAGACTGGAATTCCTGTGTTCTTGTCAGTATGTACTTAGTATTCAGAAATGACGCAGATCTATTTTTCCACCATGGCTGCCATGCTGATCAGGGTTATCAGAGCTCCATGGAGGTTAATATGTTCAAAATGAGCCCTTCTAGAACAGAAAACCTGGAGTTTCTCCATTTGGATTAAGTGAATTTTAGAGTTTTTGAATAAACTATATCAGTTTATGAATAAACTGTATCTGTTTATTGTCTTGTATGAATGATTTGTTCAGGTTGGGAGTTGTGACAGAAAAAGATCAGTTTTTCTTCCATGTGCTTTTCAGTTTCTGCAGGTTTTAGGCTTTTTTTTTTAAGACTTCATGTATCTTCAGGACATTCCAGCTATGACTTTTGACACTTCAGTAATTTAAACCTTTTGAGAAATTAAGGCTTTTTCAACACTTTTGTTCTCATTAAAAATGAATAGAGTTGTCTTCAACATCCTTAAAATACTTGTACTGTTTTTGTTTTTTCTGCTATCATCCTGGTCATTTCAAGTTATTCTGCTAATTTAAACTCTGTTGTTCCTCTATCAGCTTCTTTCTGGGAATTTAAGCTTTTTGATGATCCTTTAAGCTGTTTTTTGCTATTTAAGCTACTTTGTTGCTATTTCCAGATGACTTTACCTTTTTTTTCAACTAAATTCACTGTTTTGTGATAATTTCAGCTTCTTTACTGCTTAATTCAACAAATATATGCTCCTTCTGTTAGATTCAACTTCTTCAGCAACTTTTTAGCTACTTTTCTGCTGATTTCAGGGGGAAATGCACATTCCTCAGTTACTGTAGGATGAAACACGTGGATCTTGTTTTGTGTCTCAGTCTATCGAGGATCTGGAGAAAGAGATGCTGAACGGACAGAAGCTGCAGGGACCGGCCACGGCAGCTGAGGTTTACCTCATCCTGAAGCACAAAAACCTGGTGGACAAGTAAGCCGGGCAGCACACGGACTGGGTCCTGGTCCCCGAGGCTCCAGAAGGTTTCTCCTCATCAAAACCCCCTCGTTTCTCTGCAGGTTCCCTCTGTTCAACGCCGTCTACCAGATCTGCTTCCAGGGCCATCCGGTCACAGAGTTCATCAGCTGCTTGCAGAACCACCCGGAGCACATGTGAACCAGGTACAACTGACAGGAGTGCCTTCTTAACGGAAACACGAGCCGTCAGCAGAGGATCCACGCAGACGCTACAGACGCTGTAGCTCAGACATATCAGTTTCAGGGTTTTTTCTCCTCCCGTCTCCAAATACAGCGGGTAAAATAAGTATTGAACACGTCACCATTTTTCTCAGTAAATATATTACTAGAGGTGCTAATGACATGAAATTTTCACCAGATGTTGGTAACAACCCAAGTGATCCATACATACAAAGAAATCAAACCATAAATGTCCAGAAATGAAGTTATTTGTAATAATGTGGAATGGCACAGGGAAAAAGTATTGAACACGCTTACTGAAATTTATCTAATACTTTGTACAAAAGCCTTTGTTGTCAATGACAGCTTCAAGACGCCTCCTGTATGGAGAAACTAGTGGCATGCATTGCTCAGGTGTGATTTTTGCTCAGGTGTGTTTGGGCTCATTGTCTTGCTGAAATGTCCAGCCACGTTTCCTCTTCATCATCCTGGTAGATGGAAGCAGATTTTTATCAAGAATGTCTCTGTACATTTTTCCATTCATCCTTCCTTCAGTTATTTGAAGTTTGCCAGTACCATATGCTGAAAAACAGCCCCACACCATGATGTTCCCACCTCCAAACTTCACTGTTGGTATGGTGTTTTTGGGCTGATGTGCAGTGCCATTTGACCTCCAAACATGATGTGTATTCTMGCATCCAAACAGTTCAATGTTGGTCTCATCTGACCAGACTATATTCTCCCAGTATTACACAGGCTTGTCTAAATGTTGTGCAGCAAACTTTAAAGGAGCTCCAACATGCTGTTTCTTCAGCAGTGGAGTCTTGCGTGGTGAGCGTGCATACAGGCCATGGTGGTTCAGTGCATTACTTATTGTTTTCTTTGAAACAATCGTACCTGTTAATTCCAGGTCTTTCTGAAGCTCTCCACAAGTGGTCCTTGGCTCTTGGACAACTCTTCTGATAATTCTTTTCACTCCTCTGTCAGAAATCTTCTGAGGAGCACCTGGTCGTGGTCGGTTTATGGTGAAATAATGTTCTTTCCACTTCTGAATTATGYCCCCAACAGTGCTCACTGGAACCTTCAGAAGTTTAGACATTCTTCTGTAACCGATGCCATCATTATGCTTTGCAACAATAAGGTTGTGAAGGTCTTGAGAGAGCTCTTTACTTTTACCCATCATCAGATGTTTCTTGTGTGATACCTGGCCATCATTTGGGACTAAACCAGCTGATATTAATTTGCACTGACAAGGGYCAGGCTTGCTTTCTAATTACTGAGAGAGTTCAGCTGGTGTCTTGGCTTTCCATGKCTTTTTACACCTCCCTTTCTTCATGTGTTCAATACTTTTTCCCTGTGCTATTCCACATTATTACAAATAACTTCATTTCTGGACATTTATGGTTTGATTTCTTTGTATGTATGGATCACTTGGGTTGCTACCGACATCTGGCGAAAATTTCATGTCATTAGCACCTCTAGTAATATATTTACTGAGAAAAATGGTGACGTGTTCAATACTTATTTTACCTGCTGTTTGTACTGATAGTTGTTTTTAATCCTTGTATTGTGATCAGTTTTCAGATCTTTTAAGAGCCTGATGTAATCAGAATGCATGTGTCCATGTGTGTAGTCCACACAGTAATATAGTCATCCTGACTTTATAAGACTTCTGAAACAGTTCAGTCTTTAAAAAAGTTTATTTTATTGAATGAGTCTCAGTTATTACCAGCTTCTACTTCAGATCTTCTAGCATTAATGTTTCCGTCCTGTGAAGACTTGTAATACCTCACTTTGTCCTTTTTAGATGTAAATAATTCACTAACATGTCCATCATGTATCAGCCATGAAGGTATTGTTTTTAACTTGCAAAGCTAATGTGCCTTAAAATGCATCACTGGCCTTTTTTTAATGTTTATTTTAAACAAACCAGCTGCTGAATTGTTCTGGTTGAGTTTGTGTAAGAAGTAACCACTCAGTACACCACATGAGGGCGAGCTGCACAAACTTCCTCACAGCTTTTCAACAAAAAAACTTTCTGGATTTTTCAGAAATGAAGATAAATGTCCTGATGCATCTCAGTAATCCAGGTAGAAAAAAATCACAAAGAAAAATAAATGGGTCCTCTGGATGGGTTCTTCTTTAGTGAAACGTTCATCTCTCCTCCAAGAGACTTCTTCAGTCTGATGAGTTTCAGGTGAACTCAGCCTTATAAACACTGCCTCCACATGGTGGAGAGAAACTGAAGATAATAGTTTCCCTGAACCCAGTTAGGACTAGTAAATCCCTGTGCTGCTAAAAAATAAGGTCTTCGTGTAAAAAAAAAATAAGTTGTAGAAAAGCTGCCAGGATCTCGCTCTGAGAAGGGTTGTTTCAGAACCATAGCTGTTTTACGCACATTAAGCCATTTGTTACTGTGATCCTGCCTGATTAAGTTTATAATTCAGAGCCAATGAGTTGGAAATGACTTGTTTTAAATAAATTAATTCTGGTGTCACGTCTGGAGTCGTCCTTTTCCTGCTGCAGCAGAGGCTTCACACCAGTGAGGGGTATTGACTAAAAATGGACCACTGTTGTACGAGCACAACGCCGTATTTATTATTTATTACATTTATCAAAACAGGTAAATCCCACTGAGATGATCACAGATCTGTTTTTCAAGAGGCCTGGATCTGAACCTACCTTTTCCAAATTGTTTTATGTAGAACTCAGAACATACATAATCTAATAGAAGGGGGAAAAGGTTAAATTTAGACTAGGGCTGCCACGATTAATCGATGACTGATTATTAAAATAATCAATGACTAATTTAATAATCGGTTAATCGTTTTCTTTTTTTGTTGTTCTTTACTTTGTTTTTCTCTCCAAACTGCTTTGACACCTTCCACTGCCACATCTGCCTTTCTGTCCTTGACACACATGCACAGTAGTGGTAACTGGGGTAGGCCATGGACGTCACAAGACATTATACAGACAGGCTCTGGTATCATGGCTACCCAGCAAAGGAGCTCAAAAGTGGGAACTTTAAGAAAATGAAAGAGAAACCTGTGCAATATCTGCAGAGCAGAACTTGTCTTCCACAGCAATTATTTTTAGTTAGCATATAGCTAAAATCAAACCATGGTTATAGCAGCTGCATTCTGACGTGATAAGCTGTATGTTTTATATTCAATTAACGTATGATCTGATTAGTCGACTAATCGAATAAATAATCGTGATTAATCGATTATAAAAATAATCGTTTGTGGCAGCCTTAATTTAGACATACAGTATTTAGCATTCATTTCTTATGCCTTATTCTCTACAAAAACTTCATTTATTACATCTTAGAGATGCATTTGATCACAGTTCAGCAAATCAGGTAAAAATAAAACAAAAACCCACTAAAACTTAAATCAAAACCTAACTTTACTGAAAACTTCAAACTTTATTTTCTCGCCTTGAAAGTTGTCCAGCCGACATGAAAAAAACTGTATTAAACAGACAAAAAGAGAAACTAAAAAAAACTATTTCACAGTGAAAATATTACCTTTGGGGCCGGATAAGATGGTAACGAGGACCAGCTTTGGCCCACGGGCTTTGAGTTTGACACGTGAGTCCAACATGAGATTGAAAAAAACCCCACAAAGCATTAACTGAAGCTAAACTAGTTTATTACAACTGATGGAAGCTTGGCTACATTTTACAGACGTGTTCAGCGTGAAAGCGCACCTCCAGGTGTTCAGTCGACCTCCAGGAGACGCCCTGCTGTCTGGATATGTTGAAATATGGATACAACGTTTAAAAATTAAAATGTAAACAAATAAATGAAATAAAAATAGCAGATGCTCAAAGATGCAGTTTCTCTCTTGGTCCAATAGGGGACTTCATCCCTACAATGACCATCAAACTCTTTGGTCCGGTGAAGCAAAAAGAAATAAAAACCCTATTTGTTGGTAATAATGCAGTACAATCATCATGGTGCCAGCTGGTGAAACTCTGGGTCCTGTTGTTCGTCTCGGGGTTTTATTGCCTTAATGTGACCCAGCTGCTTGTTTCGTTGATGCTCTGCTCTTGGTTGTGCGTTTGTTCTGTTTGCCTTCAGAAAAATTAGGTCCTAATTCTTACAGTTCTGCAGACCGCTTCCACAAAAACAGCCTCCATGTTTAACCTGTCTATTTAAACTGGGTCCCGGTGTAAATTAAGACCTGATGAAATAATAACTGCAGCTGAACTGAATTCATTTAAAAAGGTTCAAAAAGCAAACAAAGAAATAACTAATGCCTGAGAACATTTGTTTCAACTGGTTCTTTTTTGCTGCCTGATGGACTCCTCAGTACTGGATCATGATTTTCCCTTCGTTCTTCTTACATTTCAAAGTTTGTGAGGGTTGACCCATTTGTAGGTGCCTTCGTAACGAAACCCAACTCTCTTAGCGAGTTCGTCTGCTTCTGCAGGGCCCCGACTGAGGAGGAGGAGGAGGGGAAAAATCCTTCAGCTTCTGGTTACAAACAATAAAACAGTCTCAGTGAAATGTTTCCTACCTTCCATATTTATAAGGAATGGGTTGTGGCGTCTCTTTCTCCATCTGATGAAGAAGCGGGGTGAAGATCCTCCACGCCTCCTTCAGCTCGTCACTGCAGACACCAACAAACAATTCAAGCAACCTCAGATTTTCCATCGTGACTGGCGCCATCTACTGACGCAGCATAAACCCACAGGTTTGTTTACAAACTGAAACGTGACACTGAGGTGTTGGAGGAACAAAGACAGACCTGCGAACGAAATGCATTTGACTCCCACAGAAGACGTCCAGGATGAGACGCTCGTAAGCGTCGGGAAGCTTCACGTCCTGAGGATAAGAATAGATTTATTTGTATGCAAGTCGATTAAAACTCCTACAAAACACATCTCTCTGCATCCGAACTTGTGAAATCTGCTCTCATTTTCACAGCTGTGTGTTGACAATCACGTCATTTTGCTGTCGGGTTCATGTCTTGTCACAAGGTCTCAGGCAAACTTTTCACTCCCCTCCACTAGGCTTGGGCGGTATGAAGGCATTTTGTTGTACTGCTGTATCAAAATATGATGGTGGTATAAAAGAATTATGACAGTATGAGCGACATGAGGTGAAGTGCGTATGAACGCTGGGATAAACATTTCAGAAGATGCCCCATGTTACTGAGGCATGCTCTGATCAGCTCTGCTCAATCAGAAAACAGAAGGGAGGGGGGAGCAGAGACGCCCATCTCTCCCACCGAGGTAAAAAATAAAAAATGAGTGGCCTTGCACACAGCCGGACATGTTCAGACATTACTCCTAGCTGGCTCCCAAAAGTAGAGATGGGATAAATGGCTCTTTGAAGGGATCCAGATCTTGGGGAGTCATTTGTTTCATACAGCCGTTTGATTTTGAACATGTTACGTCATCACGTAGCCGTACATAATGATGTCGTCCCGTCACGTGGGTAGAACCGTGTGTTTGTTAAGCGGAAACCCCCCTTCCCCCGTGAGCTTCTGTACTCCACAACTCATCCTGTTTTCTGTGAAAAAGCAAAGCGGGAGCAATTTAAGTACGAAAAACTAAAGATTTTAAGAGGAATAAAATAAATAAAACAACAAATGGTTCGTTACTGTCCGCGATGCGGCTCCTACCGTTCGTTGTAAAGAGCCGTTCAAAAGATTTGGATCGTTCGTGAACGTCACATCTCTACCCAAAAGCTGGACAGCTGTAGACTTCAGATTTAAACTTTGTGCTTTTTTGTTGTTTTTTTTTACCTGCAACCGTGCCATGCAGATGAGGAAACGACTACAGATTTTATCGGCACAAAGACTTTTCTTGCTAAGCGGCAGGTTTGAACTGACCACGGTAAGAGTCCATTTATTTTGAAAGTTAAAACTCTAAAAACACGTAGTTTGACTTGTTTGACCTGTTGGACATCATTCTGTGACTCCTGCTGCTCTGAGTGACAGCAGCATCAGAGAAGCTGAGTTTTTTGACCCCAGACATTACTTGTTTATGTAGTAAACTTTGCTAATAACTCTGTTAAACATGGGAATAACAATACAAACAAACCTAATAACTCTGATACTAATTGCATTAATTTATGATTGTTAAAAAAATGCAATAATCATGGTGAAAATATTCTATTCGCAAAATTAATGTCTGGAAATCATCTGGGGACCCTCACTTGATGTTTTGTGACCCACAAAGGGGTCCCGACCCCAACTTTGGGAACCACTGATCTAGAGGAAGTAAGAGTCGTAACAAGGTTTCTGTGGGTGAACCTGCGGAAGGATCATTACCAGTTTCACCCCTGGGCCCGGACCACAGGGTCCCACTCAGGCACGTCTCTGTCACCTCTGTCCCTACAAACCATCCTCACCCGCAGGGTCACTCGTTCAGTTTTACTCTGTCCATCTTTCCCCCCTTCCAATCTTTTAATTAGTTTTAAATAAAAATCTGGCAGTGCTAAAATTAATATTTTAAAGCGGTTGTGTTGTTAGGCTTTTGTCATTAGCGTAGACGTTTTTAATATTATTCTGGTCAGAAATCATTGTAAACTGGCTCGTACGGCAGGTCCCGTAGTTCTTCGAGTACCAAGCTAATTTTAATTTATAATATTAATATTTTTTAATATTATATCTACGTATTTTTGCTCCTGTTTAGCGCCGTCGCGGTTGCTACAGGTCATACGTCGGAGTAAGGGCAGGAACGACGCTGAAGTCTAGACCGTCCAAATCCACAGCCGCTTTTTCTTCCGGTCTTCGCGGTCGACAAAGGACCTGGCCTACGTAGACCGGGTAGGTCGGGTCCTTCCAAGGATGCAGCCTCTGAATTTGGACACACCCACAGGCGGCATTTTGTTTCAACTCCTCCTCCTCCAGAAGCTGGCTGTTTTCCTTCCAGACAACAAGGAGAGTTTAGAAGAGCAGTCATTCGAGGGAGTCAGAAAGTACGTCCATCTTTCTGACGTATCCGGACATTAAAGAAAGTCAAACGGTCAAATCGTTGCAGACAGCACAGATGTGCACTGAGGAATCGGTCGGCTGAAATGTGTGGTGACAGATCTGTGGTCAAAGTAACGACAGATATCTGAGTGGAGACTTTTATTTAAACTTCCACAGTGTAGACTCCCAACAGGAAGAGCCCTGTGCATGTACCGCAGCAGGAGGGGTTTCCCAGGAGGTTTCTCAGGGGTTATGAAAGACGTGTGAAAACAAACCACGTGACCGCGCATCGACTGCTCAGCTTCAGATGGACCCATTAGGCAGCGGATGAGCCAGAGATTTAACAGATCAGATCATTTGTGAGGATATAATCTCTAGCTGCAGTTATGAGCTTGCATGAAGTAATGACATAGATCCACCCGTTAACGAGTGAACGTGGCCCTACCTTGTATCTGCTCTTGTATGTGAGGTCCAGCTCCGTCTCTTCAGGGTGGAAGTACACTCCGGGTTTCTTGCTCATCATCTTGGCGTAGATGGCCTCGTTGGGCTGAACTCGAACCACCAGCTCGTTCCTTTGACACTTGTTTTCAAAGATGTCTCCCGGGACGTCGGTGAACTGCAGCCGCACCTCGGCTTTCCTCTCGTTCAGAGCCTTTCCACAGCGCAGGATGAAGGGAACGCCTGAGGAACATGTTGAATGTTTTAACCAAAGATTCAAAATAATATCTTTTTTAAATCAGAAACCTATATTTTTTACCATCCCAGCGTTCATTGTGAACATAAAGCACAGCTGTGGCAAAGGTGGCCTGATTTGATCCTTTGGGTACCGTGGGATCATCAAGGTAACCCTGCTTTGCTTCTCCTTCCCCATCTGGATCCCCCACATACTGACCCAGCACCACGTCAGACATGGTCACCGGAGCAATGCACTTCAGCACCTTCACCTGCGAGACAAACTTTCCACAATCAGTGTCTCTGCATGGGTCGAGCTTTAAAGGGATCCCTGATTAGTTGTAACATTAGACTTTATTTAATAAACATATATTTTAACTTTAAAATAAAGACTGTAAAAATACTGTAGGCTGTTTAGTTTTCATCACTTTTAAACTAAAAGTTTAAAAATATATTACACAGACGGGGCCATTTTATTTACACACAAAGCATTCTGGGTAAATGATGAAGTGGATAGGTCCTTGGTGCGAGGCTGCATCCACCCTGAAGGTTAATCTTGGACAATATCTGAAGATCGACTCTTTTAAATGAAACCAGAGAGCGTTGACAGAGAGGAGAAGGTAGAAATGACTCAGCCTGTAACTGATAATTTAGATGGAGGACCTCAGTTTGTTAGTTTGTCGTGCTAGCACTGAGCTATTACATATAAGGCAATATAGCGTCCGTGCTAGCGCGAAGTCTAACAGGCTAAGCTGAGGTTCTTCTTCCATGAAGCAGCTCTGTTGTCCTCCATCTATATTTTCAGTTCCAGGCTGAGTCATTTCTACCTTCTCCTCTCTGTCAACGCTCTCTGGTTTCATTTAAAAGAGTCGATCATCAGATACCATCCAAGATTAACCTTCAGGGTGGATATAACTCGTTCACACCGAGGACCTATCCACATCATCATTTACCCAGAATGCTTTGTGTGTAAATAAATTGGCTTCATCAGTGTTAAAATATATTTTTAAAAAATTTACTAAACAGCCTACAGTATTTTTACAGTCTTTATGTTACAGTTAAAATAAATGTTTATCAAATAAAGTCTAATGTTACAACTAATCATGGATCCTTTTAAAGCCAGTGGAAACTGGTGATGCTGTACCTTTTCGTCCCGGACATCGTCGGAGCTGGTGGAGGCTGGTTTCTCCATGGCAACCAAGCAGAGCATCTGGAGCAAGTGGTTCTGCATGACATCGCTGATGGTGACAAAAGGAACAGGTGGTCACACAAAAGACACCGATGGAGCTGGAATCACGTCAGGTATAATTACTGATCATTTGGTGGCACTGATGAGCTGTTCCCAGAATTTACTTTCAGGAACAAATGGGATTGGCTAGTTTGTGGAAACTCTTATTAATTGGCCTTAAATATTTATTTAAAAAATGGTGCCGTTATTTTCTACTCATTTAAAAAGGGGCTATATCATGTAAAAACTGCTTTTTTGAGTTTTATATCCTGTTATAATGTTATCCTCTCATCAAAAACATGCCCAGAGTCTTGCTTTGACTCATTCATGCACGTTTGAGAAATCCTGTGGTGTCCTGAGGCAGCCAGGCAGGGGAGCAAAAACAGGGTTCCTACAGTTTAAGGCAAGTTAAATTTAAGACTTTAAGACTTTTTAATGCCAAATGAAAATCAATTTAAGACCAATTTCACAATAAACACAAAAGGACAAAAAAATAAAAAAAACTGGCAGAAACTCATGAATATTCCTAATAAACCAATTGTTTTTAACCATATCGAACTGCTTTTTTGTCAAATATAGCAAAAACATTATTATCAGTCAGTTTTAAACTTCATTTAATTCCTGGAAATTCTCTAACGACCCAATATTTTGAGTTTTAGGACCCACGGTGGGTTCTCAACCCTAATTTGCTGTAGATGAAACCTTAAAGTGCCTGTGACATCAACTTTTTTTGTAAGAAATGTGAATACATTTTTGGAAATACAACATTATAAACATATTATGAAACAAATTTTGTGATGCTCAGATGGACGGTTGTTGAGTTATTTGCATGTGAAGCAACAGGAAGTGATGTCAAAGAGGAATGTCTGCATATGAACATTTTAAAAAAATGTCACCAATTATATTGAGACAAATTAGTCATCCTATTTACAATGTAACATTTTTAAGACTTCTGACAGATTGATTTAAGACATTTTAAGGCTAATTAAGGCCTTATTTTGGATTGATGAATTCAATGCCTTTTAAGACTTTAAGGATCTGCAGGAACCCTGATAAAACACCGGTTGGGACTAGAACCGCCGTCTCTGTAATCGCTCCGGTTCTTTAGAAAACGTACTTTCCGGTCAAACCAGTAAGGTTCATACGTATTCTGAGATGTAATTTTCCAAAACCGATCTTATATAATTTTGCTGCTTTTGTAATTATCATTACAACAAAGCACGTAACAACGCTATTTCTTCAACATGCTGAAATGAGCATGATGAAATCAGAAGGAGGTTCTTAAAGAGACGGAGGCCAATTTCAAGGCGTTTAGAAACAGGCAGTGTTGTATAAAGTACCACAAAGTGATACTTGAGTAAAAGTACAAGTTTCTTATCGAAAACTTACTTTGGTAAAAGTTAAAGTCTCATTTAGGAATATTACTTGAGTAAAAGTCTTAAAGAATCTGAATTTTTTGTACTTAAGTATTAAAAGTAAAAGTATTGATTTAAACTGAGCAGTTAGATTTTCTGTAATGACATTTATTAGGAGGTGACCTCACCAAAAATTGAAGAAATAACTATATTGTATTAAAACAATTAATGTTAAATTTAGGATGCACTAGTCTAGCTGTTTCAGTGTATACAGTGTGTGTGTGTGTGATAATTATCCCCATGA